ACACTGCCTCCGCTGATTGTATCTGTCCAGAGAGTAGATATCAGCAGCAGAATGGTCATGGTAAACTGTGGCTCTGTCATCACAGCCAAACAGTCCATTTAAATCCCACCAAATGAAATTTTGAATTTCTTTCACCTGCATTGTTTGCATCCTGTGACGGAGTGAGTGATTGAAGCTTTAAACCGATTTAGTCATTCAAAACAATAAGATTTATTATTGGATGGAAACTCTTGTGTGCATAGTAAAAAAAAGTGAATTACATTTTGTTACAAGCCCACCTTCTTGTTCAAATTAGTTTTGTGCACAGGCTGAGTTTATTAAACCTGTAATAAAATCTGGCACAGCATAGTTACCTTGCAATGGGACCTGTCAGAGTGTAACCATCCCAAGAGATGAGTAACAGAGACAGCTCAGCTGCTGGTTGCCAAAATGGGAGATGCAAAAGTAATTTCCATTAAAGTAAAAAAAAGAAAAAAAGAAACACTTTAAAATATAGTTTATATTCTTATCATAAAGTTGGACAGCGGAATCTGGAGTTGCGTCCGAGACCATATTTCTTCCAAATCAGATGAAAGCCGGCCAATACTTCAGTTTGACATCAAAGCAAAACTGTCCATGTCTGCCTCATTAACACTGAATAAGACTGAGTATCCATGGTGACGTTCAGGGGAGACATTATTCCCTGGTTGAGCTTTGCTAGGAAATTAAGCTCATTAACATGTAGTGGTTACAGAAAAAATACCCAGGAGTCCTTGCTGTTATTTTCTGATTGAAGCACCACCACGTCTCCACATGATATCATTGATTAGCGTGATGGGTTTGACCCATTCAATAAGGAATAGTCAATACCACTGGGTTGGCCACACGGTGTGGAGTGTGGTTAGTGCTTCACAGCAAGATCGTGCGTTTACTGGTCGATCACTGGCCTGACTTTGTAGAGTTTGTGAGCGAGGTCTCTCCAGGCGCTGTAGTAGTACAAGATGGAGGATAAGGTTATTCCAGAATAGGTGTCACATATACATACTGGATCCTCAAAGAAATTGTTGGTTGCATCTGCTCCTGAAGGACTATTTCTAAAGGCCCAAGAGTAAAAATATATAGGAAATATATGTAAAATATAGATATATCACCAAAAATTAGATAAAATAAGATGTTATGGTATGTACAAGTGTAAATAGCTCCAAGAGTGAATGCAAAGTAAAGCAGATTTCTAAATGTGTCATAACTATACTGTATAAATCCCTCTGTGTAATCAAGTTTGAAAACTTTACCAAGAATATTACTCAAGTTTAATGTGAATGTTCTACAAATATGAACAAACAAATTTAATAGATTGATGAAAAAAGTATAAAGGATGGATTTCACAAAAAATATTGCATGGTTTGACCAAAATACTAAAAAGATCTGAATTTGTCTTTTTCAAAGATATTGATAGAGTTTTGCATAATATGGCAAACATATGACAAGGCTGATCAGAATAGATTACATTAATAATAATAAATCTGACTCTTTAGGATCAGTCCTGCCAAAAAGAAATGTATTGTTTCAAACCACATCCCAAAAAAGTCCTTCCAGCAATGTGGTTAATTCTTAGGTAAAACAATCGGATCGTCAGTGATGAACAAAAAAAAAAGCATCAGTGTACCCCCCTGTGAGGAGGGCAGCCCACCTGTGGTAGTCTACAGATGTGCATTGGAGGAGAGCTTCCCCGCCCCCTTCTGTGAATAGTGGGATGTATTAATGGGGTAATCTCCTGTGTACATCTCTGAGGGAGTTGGTGAGGAACACCACTATGAAGTCCCGTTATGTTCTCTTGGGGCCTGTGCAGGTGTGCTAATATGATATCAGAGCTGTCTGAAACACTTACACTGCACTGGGATGAATGGAGAGATGAATTAGAAGAGTCACACCCCCCTCCTTAATGACTGGAGCTGAGCTACGCTGCAGACTACCCAGAAATGCTTCCACTCCAGCCAGGTCCCCAGCATGAAAATGACCCATCAGACTGCCTTGTGTTGCACGAGCCAATCTGCTGGGATGATAAATGATGAGCAGGAGCCCTGTGCTGCCGGCCCTGTCATGGGAGATTTCAGATGGGGAGGATGATGGGGTTTGCCACACATAAGCGTGGCATGGGCACAGCGGGTAAAGAGCACAGGATTCAGTGCCACCAATTAATGTTTGCCTTGGTTCACCCCACACACAATCGGAGCACAGTTGGCACCATGTGGGCAAAGCTGTGCCCCGACAAATATCAGGCGAGCAAATGTGTGGTACTCCAGGGAGCGGGAGAAAAGCTGCAAGGTATTAGGTGATTATGGAACAAGCAACAGCAACAATTAGTCTGGAGAGCCGTTGGGAATCATCACCTGGGAGAAAAGCTCTGCTCATGGATAGTTCCACGCTGGCGGAATGAGCTCCCGAGCACCACCAGAACAAGGTCTTCAGAGAGCACCTCCTGCCCTAGCACTCTCCTGTACTTCCCCTCTCCTTCTGCACAAGTCCCACTTTACTAAACAGCAGTCTCTTTTCAAGAGTTCCTCTGAGCAGCGTGCGTGATTGTTAATTCCCCTCTTGTAAGTCACTTGGGATAAAAGCGTCGACTAAAATGCATGAATGTATGAAAATGCATGAAAATCCCTCAGTTTGTTCTAAACTCAGAGCACTGTTCCTTCTGCACTGCTTGCTACACCCGGGGTCACTCATCCACCCCGTCCATCAAACGTCCTCGGTGCAGAAGCTCAGCTGTCTTCTTCTCACTGCCAAGTATAGTTTTCCCAACTATAGTTCCTTCTCCCTGAGCTCAGTGTCTCTGCTGCTCTCCCTGGCTCTTACCTGCCCTACTTTCACACTGCTACAACCATTAACACACACTTTCACACTCGTCTACATCCACCTGAGTTTTTTACCTCAGAGCCAGGGGACTCGAACTCAAATGAACCGAAGACCACTGCTGCCCCCATCACTCCGTTATAGGGTGCGATGGTCAATAAAAAAAAATAAAAAAATATATATATATATATTAGATACTGTATAATATTACAGTCAGGACAGCATGTTATTCTAATAACCCTTTAAATAAAATACTTCACCAAATACCCCCCCAAAAAGTTTGAATGATTAAGGCATCTAATCATGTGTGTGGGCCAAACGAGGCCCCCGAGCCAGAAGTTTGTCATCCCATCTCTACACACATGCACTACACTAATGTTTAGACGAGTGCAAGCACCAAAGGCACACTGCAGGTTTTTTTCCATGATGATACAGATTTATGACATTTACTAGCATCAAGAACAGTGCGGTGCAGTTGAGGAGTAGACAACACTACAGTACAGTACAGTACAGGAGGAAAGTACGCCACCCAAATCACATTGCACCGTCCTTCTGTTTGTTTCGACATGCTGGTCAGGACCTTCTGTTTGTTTTTTATGTAAAATTGTAAAAATACCAGAGTGCTGCTTTTCCTTCTCTCTCTCTCTCAGACCCTGAGGTGTAAAAGCCATTTAAATTGAACTCGACCAAAGAGGCACAGCTTGTTGTAGTAACCAATCTACGAATGTTCCTAATAGATGAAAAACAGAGGCTGCAGTTTGGCAGCTCACGCTGTCCTGTGACGTCTCAGGTTGTTCTGGCGGCTTGGATTCAATCTCAGTCCAGGCAAAGCTTCTGAGGCTGTGGTTGGTATCATTTAATCATTTAGGCCAGTGGTTTGAGAAGCGTGAGTTGAGTCTACCCTAAGGGGGCGCCAGAGCAGATGCACAAAATATAGAAAGAAAAAGTGGGAGAAGAGAGTGTGGGAGAACTTGTAAAGTAGCTGAACTACATGAAGAGTAATGGACGGACATTTGACCACAGAATGAAGACAGAGGAAGTTTGACAACGATTGAGTTTGGAATTTCTGGTTTGGATCTAATGTATCACTGCAAATCATCTGCCTCCAGCGTAAATCATCTGTTTCCTCCTCTACTGTTACACCATCTGTCTCCACGTTCTCCATCATGACATCCATCCTGATTGGTAAAATACACATGTTTGGTGGTGTTTTCTTTACAAATCATGGCATCTGTGTCAATGCGGTCGGAAAACGTAGACTCTTAAATATGAGAGTGAGAGGAAAATAACGAAATACAGGCATTAGTGAGAGAGAGCACAACAACGTGACAGAGAGTGACTGTGTGTGTTCAGACAGCGAGAGAGAAAGAAAGAGAGAGAGCAAGAGAGAGCAAGTGAGAGAGAGTGAGTGAGTCAGGCCTAGTTTTTAGTGTGTGATCTAGGCCATTATCTGTGTTAGCACTGGTGGGGCTCCAACAGACTCTGTGGATCCTTCATAACAATAGCTTTTATCAGATTGTATGTGTGGGTGTGTCACTGTGAGCGTGCACGTCGGTGCAATTGTCCCGTTCATGATTTAAGCATGTGCTCATCTGCTTCGGCTCCTTGTTTCTGCCGCGGAGTTTGTGTGTGTGTGTTTACATTTTTTTCTAAACGTGTGTGTGTGTGTGAGTCCTCACGTGCTGCTGTGGTCTCCTGCTCTATCACCCGAGTCTTCAGTCCACCCCCTGCTCCAGCAGCGCCCTCAGGGCCTACATTATATAAGAAAGACATTACTGCGGAATAGGAGCAGAGAGGCAGAGGCATTACTGCAGAACACAGGCAGGCAGCCCTGCTACGTAACTCTGGCAGCCCCAGCTTCAGTGCAACATTATACACCTCTCTGGAACAGAGGCGCACACACACGCATTCTGTAATCAGTATTGTGAAGATGCAGAGTTTCGTAAGTTTGTGGGGGAAAGCAAGCTCATTTACGTGCGGAGGAAATGTCATGGCTGTTAAACCTAGAAAGCATTTCCATCCAAACAAACATCCTCACATTCAAACACCAAATGGAAAATGATCATTTTTGTCTTTCTATGCACTATCATTGAGTCACCTCTACCTCAAACCTCCGTCGCCTTCTTATTTCCTTCACTCACCTTAATCTACTCTCCCCCACCCTCCAGCGGTCCCCTTCCCCCTGGCCCACCGGCTGACCATGAAGGAGGTGTTTGATTCGGAGGGCCGGCCGAGGGTAGACCTTCTCAAAGCTCATCTCACCAAGGAGGGCCGGCTGGAGGAGGCTGTGGCGTTACGCATCATCGATGAGGGTGCCGCCATCCTGCGCCAGGAGCGCACAATGTTGGACATTGAGGCACCAGTCACGGGTACGGTGATGACCACACAGCTGGAATTATAAATGGGAAATTACAACAAAGCCAAATGCTATAACAGTTAATAGCACTGTTGTCATTATTGTCCAGCCACTGAGTCTGTTTGTGCATATACAAACTTAGCTATAATGCTAGTGAAGCCCAGCTTTGCAAAAGTGCTAAAGTTGGAAAACATAATCACATTTGTAAAGTGATGTAATTATCTTTACGATATTACTCTTGTAATCGGCCTTGTTATCTTTGTTAAAGAATGTTGTTCATGTTAATTTTTTTCTAAATATTTGAATTACATAAAGATTTTGTCGAATTATATTATACATACATCGGATACTAGCATTAACATGTTGACAGGAAGTCGTGACAATTGTTATTTATTATCTAGTCTTAGTCTTCCTAAATTCCCAGATTGACGTCTGCAGATAACTCTTCACTTTTTGTCGTGTGCTTTTCGTTTCACACGGTTTATACTGGGTTTTGTTTACACTACCGTTAATAGTAGAAAAGTTCTGTGCTAAGATATTTGATTTGAGTTTGATTTGATTCTACTTCCGGTCTTACATTCATTATGATTGGATCTGTATAATGTCCCGCCTTCCAGCTAACAAACATCGCTCTGATTGGCTTTCATCGTTAAACGTCCCTCCAGGTGACGTTACAAAATTAGCGCCGATTGGTCTGACAGATATTTTTTGTCTAATTTTTATTAGCCGGTTTTGTACATCAATTAATATCATCGTCGTCAATTAGCTCCACATAACTTTCGGTTTAAAAATTATATGTCTACAAGAACGACACTGCTTAGCACAAGTACCAGGCGATCGAAAAATATCTCTCAAAACCAGGTATTCGTAATTTCATTTGTTAATTTTGATAGAAATTGGCAACGTCAAATTATATTAACGTAGCCTGCTAGCCGCTAACAAGCTAATGCTCAGGTAGCACCGAGTATAGGCTGCTGTCAAGCCCTTTTAGATTTATTGGATTATATGAATTATACATATTTAAAAAAAAATCAGTGATTAACGCAAAAAACAAAACAAAAAACAAGTAATAACTGTTATTTTTAAGGTGAAAAAACAAAACAAAAAACAAGTAATGACTGTTATTTTTAAGGTGAAAAAAAAAACCTTTGTGGCAGCTCGTGTGTGTGTTTGTATGTAACTGAACATACACTACACTCACTTCCACAATGAAGCTTTGGAGTAAACGGCAGAAATATTTCTAATTACGTTTTATTATGATTCCATTAGTTGTAATCCTCCACATTCATTTAAAATGTGATTTGGTCACACTCCAATGACAAGCACTTGGCTGGTGTGAATCTCACAACAGCAACTGTCGGCCATGGTTTTATCTGCACGTACTCCCTCGAAATGGTAGGAACAGTGGTGTGAAGGGATAGAAGGAGGAGGGAGAGGAGGAGGAAAAGGATTGAGAAACAAAATGGAAAAACAGTTTCTGTGAGCAGCAGCAGCAGATAGACTCAGACCATTCAAACCTATTTACATGGCCTTGTGAAGGCACCTGTGTGAACCTCTGCATGTACCATGTACTGTATGTGTGCATTTATGCAAGTGGCAGCAGTACCACAGTGAGGTGTGGGTGTACAGACCCACACTGTGTGGGAAGAACGCTCATCTTTCACAGGTACAGATCCCTGAGGACGGGGAAAGACAGACAGCGAGATGATCATAAACAGCTCAGTGCAGAGGGGTTTTCATTTCCTGTTCAATATTGATGATTTGCTGGTATCAGTCAGTGATGCTTCCCAAAGTCTGAAAAATGGAACTTTGCAGTAGTTACAAATGCTGGTGTGAATTTTTCTTCTGCTATCTGAGACAGATTAAAAATGAAAACTTGCATAAAATATATTTATATTTAATATCGGTACCTGATACCTACACCAATTATTTTTGTGTTCTGGTTCATGTGAGAGCTTCAGCAGACGTCGGGAGTTTGGTGTTGTCTGTCAATGTAACACAGTGTTTTGCTGTTGTTGTTGTTGTTGTGCTGTTTCCAGTGTGTGGAGATATTCACGGCCAGTTCTTTGACCTGATGAAGTTGTTTGAAGTAGGAGGTTCTCCTGCCAACACACGCTACCTCTTCCTGGGGGACTATGTGGACAGGGGCTACTTCAGTATTGAGGTAATTTCCCTATCGCACCACATACCTAACACGTCTACACATTGACTGTAGGCGTTGTTAGAGACTGACTTCATGATTGTACATCACTGTCCTGTGTTCTGTTATTCTGTGAAGGTACACTTCTAATAACAAACCCAGCATCGCACTAATTTAAGTTCAGTTTCAAAGGTTAATTTTTAAATATTTTTTAAAAGTTTGTATGTTGAATTTCATCATCAGTTGAGGGATGTATCAGTGGAATAGAACGGCCCCGGAGAAGCAGTATTTAGGCCACCTTCCTGACATACTTTAAGGACACATAGAATGCAGAACTGATGCTGTGTAAAGGTGAATGAACACTTGGAATGATAAGATCATAATGGCTTCACTATGTTGGATGACAAAAACTGATGAATTTCACTTTGACCCAAACAGCTCTGGCACATTCAAGGCCATTTCCCTTCAAATTGCTGATGGTGTCTATCTTTAGACCGCAGCTCTGGACAGTTTCGCTTTTAACTCGTTTTACTTGGGCAGTGGACGATTCAGTCACAGAAAGAATTACCAGTTACCACTTCAGCAGCAGCTTAAATGTTCTCTGTGGGATTAAAAGAAAATGAACCACAGGTTTGCCATAAACAATTATTTAAAAATAGCATTAGAAATGATTTAAAAGTCCTCATTAACCGATCAGAAAACTACTACTACTACTACTACTACTCCATCAAAACGAATTCTAAACACATGGCCACAGCAGTTAGTTTACGTAGATTAATCATTAAGACAGAGCTAATCTGGGTTTAATGTAACAAAACAGATGAAACCCTTCAGTGTTGTCATTTCCATTATGGTCAGCACAATAAAAAACCAGCTGAAGAGTAAACACAAAGTCTCCTCAATGCAGGCATGATTGAATGGAAACTAGTGAAGAATGAAAACTTTGAAGTTCAGCGGGATGCAGTACTTTTACTGTTAACCAATGACTAATGTTTTATTGCTGTGGTTGTAGCCTACAGCCGCACATTAATCACTACAGTGACGTTGTCATGTTGATGTGTATTTGACCAACACAATGCTCCCCCTGCTGAATAAGAAGAGGTTGAGTTTACTTGCAGGTCACAGTGGAAGTGGAGTGTGAAGTGTAGCAATCATTACATAATTAACTATAAATAACAATAAGTCCAGGTTTTCCCCCCCTTTGTTTTCATGCAAAAGAGTACAAGTACATATTAGATATTTATTGTTATTTATTCCTATTTTATGAAATATAATTTTTACAAAAAATATCCAGAACAGTGTTTGTGTATTTTTCTTATTTTTGAAATTCATTAAGCCGGCTGGACTGAACAAACTATCTTATTTTTGAAATTCATTAAGCCGGCCGGACTGAACAAACTAGCGGGTCGGTTTTGGCCCATGGGCCGTGTGTTTGACACCCCTGGTACTTCCTCCTATTGTGTGTGTGTGTATTTTCTCAAGGTACTCTAGTACACACACCAAAAACACACAGATTGAGGATTAAATTAATTGGACACTTACAAGTGTGAATGTTCCTGGAGCGATGGAACCGGAGAACTGTCCAAGGAGTAACGCTGCCCCCGCCTGGTGATCGTCTCCAGCTCGGACCGCGACCCTGAAAACGATGAAGACGTGAATGATTCAGCCTGACCTGATTTGATGTTATTTTCTCCTCTGTGTCTGTCTGAACCTCCAGTGTGTGTTGTACCTGTGGTCACTGAAAATCCTCTACCCAAAGACTCTCTTTCTTCTACGGGGAAACCATGAATGTAGACATCTGACCGAATATTTCACCTTCAAACAAGAATGTGAGTAAACGCTGTGATTGTTTCCTGCTGGATAATTTGTCGAATAGTAAAAATAAATATTAATAATGCCATCATTTATTATTATTATTATTATTCTATAATAATATATGATATGAACCCAGTAGTACAGTTGTTTTCTCAGAGTCACATCGGCGTGCACTCGGAGTTTCCACTCTGCCTGTGAGTTATGCCGTTCACAGTGGGAGTGGGTGATTAGCACCAAATTAATTTGGCCTGTAATGATTGGCTCAGGGACTTACTCCTCTGTTTCTGATTGGCCATGGGACGAGGAGGCTAATTTCCCCTGGTGCTCATGGTGAATAGTGGTCGCCCTCAATTACCATCTGCTGTGCATGTTAGTGTGTACGTGTGTGTGAGTTCATGTACTTTGAGGGCATGCATGTGTAAGCGTGTCTCATAAATGTTTGAACGTGTGTTTGTGTGTGTCCCTGATATACGTATATGTACACTTGTGGGGACACTTTATAGAAATTAACGTCGTGAGGACGCCTTGTCCTTTTAAGGACAGTTTTGCTGGTCCCCACTGGGTCAGGGGGTATTTTGAAGTTCAAGATTAGATTTTGGGTTGGATTAGTGTTAGGGTTTGGTTTATAGTTGTACTGGTTTGACAAGATTTTGGGTTGGATTAGTGTTAGGGTAAGGATTAGGGTTTGGTTTATTGTTGTACTGGTTTGACTAGGGTGAGGAGCCGGGGAATATACTGTAGGTCTATGTATGTATTTAACACAATAACCAATGAGTGTGTGTGTGTGTGTAGTTGTAAAAAGTTGATAATTGGTTAATATTAACGAGCTCCTGTTTTACACAAAGGAGACGGAGACAAACACTGTCCTCTCACAGACCGTCGTCGGTCAACAGCAGTACTGGCTGACTTACTGTATGTGTACATGTTGTCCTGATACCCTCTCTTCTCCTCCCTCTTTGTTGCCTACTTCTACCCCGCCCTCTCCCACACACACACACACTTCCCTTGTATCCTCCCATCAATCTCCCTTCTCTCTCTATAAAATTATCTTTCTCCTCTGCGTGCTTGCTGTCATCCAATATCCACCTTTCTTCCTCAGTCCTCTCCTGGCCTGTCTGCCCCTCCTGCTCTCTCCCTTCAGTTATTTTAATCCTGTGATATTGTTTTGTGTCAAATTTATTGTTACGCCAGCGTGAGATCGTCTTAAAGACGCTGCTCGTCTTTGGATGTCTCTGTTGACAGCGCTGCCAAAATGAAAGCAGTTCTTCTTGAAGCAGAGATGCTGCCTGGCAGCGACGACTCTACACTGACGCTGCCTCATATTTGGGTCAAGTTTAACTTACTGAAAAAAAAAAAAAAAAGTAAAACGTCTCAGTATCTGTTTACTGCCTGTGAGAATCTGCTCTGTGCTCCAGGAGGGAGCAGTGTTTTACTGCTCTGCCTTACACCGAGGAGTGTGCAAAGTAGGCAGTGTGGAGGTCCTGCAAGCTGAGGGGACAAGAACATGAATGAATTCATTAATGGATCAATCAATGAGTGTCATATGAATCAGAAACTGACTGCAGTACAACAGATGTGGGAGTTCTACATAACAAACTCCACCTTGTTAAAAATCTCCCTCTCTCTCTCTCTCTCTCCCTCTCTCTCTCCATCCACCTCCAGGTAAGATTAAGTACTCGGAGCAGGTGTACGATTCCTGCATGGAGGCGTTTGATTGCCTGCCCCTGGCGGCCCTGATGAACCAGCAGTTCCTCTGTGTTCATGGGGGTCTTTCTCCTGAAATCCACACATTGGATCTCTCTCAAAAGGTACAAAAAACAAATAAAAAACAAAACTCAAAAGCCTACGATCAGTCGATGCTAACAGAGAAACTTCCAAATGTTCCGAATGCTGATGCGGTAATGGATGATCAGAAAATAAGAGGGTTGGCAGTAAGGGGGGTTGAAAAGGCGGATTTGAAAGTAGAATGTTCTACGGTTTGATTCCAGTCTTTGGAACCAGAACTTGCATGTCCCTAACAGCAGAATCAAAGCTGGACAAATGAGTACATTGGTGTACCCTGTAGTAGGAAGTGTGTCTTTTACATACAGTACCCTGAGAAACAGAAGCATCACTAACCTCCTAGTAAATAAATGTTAAATGTTATGATGACGACACTGTCATTTATATTTTTGGACATAAATAAAAGCCTAATTATTTTCTTAACTGAGAATTTTTATCAAACAAAACAAAACAAAAAACAAACACTCACCGTACGTATTCAGTTTATCCACAACACAGAGAGACACATACGAGCGGAGAGACATGCGAACACACACTTCCTGGTCTAATGGCAGTGTTTCCATGGTGAATCTGCTGGTGTGACATCTTCTCCCTCCTGTGTTCTGAGGGTTGCCATGGAGACGCTCTGCTCTGACAGTATGTGTTTGTGTTTATGTGTTTGCTTTTCTTTCCCCTCTCAGTTAGAGGCTGTTTGTTTGTTCATGTATGGATCGACCATCAGGTTCTCACCGTTTCTTTGTCCTGCAGCTTCAGGCTACCACAGAGACAGTGGAATCCATGTACTAATGAAGTCACACACTGGTATTCAACAACAACCCCTCTGTCTTTAGATAAAGGCAAGAAAAGGTTGCAAAAAAAAAAAAGTCATTTTTCCTCTGCCGAATTAAAAAAAAAAAAAACAAGTCTTTACCCTGGACGTTGTGAAGCAGCTCAAAGTGTAGATGTCAAACAGACATCTGGTGAGGATGCCCTCTGGACCTCTCTGGGGAGGTGTTGTGGGAATGTAGATCTGGGAGGAGACCCCGAGGCAGACCATGGACCGTACGTCTCTTGGCGGGCCCAGGACCTCTGAGGGATCTCCCCAGAAGGTTTGGTGAAAGCTGCTCGGTGAAGTGGACTGTGTTGGCTTCACTGCAGAGACTGCTGTGGTATAAAGTAAAAAAACAAATAAAAAAAACACTTTTTCAGAAGGAGGGATGTACAGTAGGTGGGTTCAGGGTTTACCTGTCAGTGTGGAGGTTTTGAGTCCAAACTCAGTGGGCAGCTACAGTCCTGTGTGGGACAGAGGAGACAGTAGATGGTACACAGTCCAAAAAAATGGCTAAGCTTCTGCTCATAACCCTGCTGGCAGAACAGTGCAGCTGCAGTACCAGCACAGTCACTAATTGCAGGCGCAGGGTCTCAACACCGCCCCCAACAGGGTGCATTCTGCTGTTGACTCACTGTTGGTTCACTATTGTGCACATTTGACTTCTACCTCAATCCAACCCACAACCCTGCACTACAGCTGCATCATCAGTGTGGGCCACGTAGATAGTTTGTGGGCATCACTTCATGTGGCCCGTACTACACTCCGAACTTTGTATATTTGGAATTCAAGCAGCAAATGTAGCTTATCTTTCTGTGCAATAATTGTGTTTAAACTGTGTGTGTGTTTGTGTTTGTGTGTGTGTCCTAGTTGGACCGGTTCAAAGAGCCCCCAGCATTTGGGCCCATGTGTGACCTGTTATGGGCCGACCCCCTGGAAGACTTTGGCAACGAGAAGACCCAGGAGTACTTTGGTCACAACACAGTCAGAGGCTGCTCCTATTTCTACAGGGACAACTGGGTGTGGGCCAGTCTACTAGTCCAGTCTACTAGTCCAGTCTGCTAGTCCAGTCTGCTAGTCCAGTCTGCTAGTCCAGTCTGCTAGTTCAGTCTACTAGTTCAGTCTACTAGTCCAGTCTGCTAGTCCAGTCTACTAGTTCAGTCTGCTAGTCCAGTCTGCTAGTCCAGTCTGCTAGTCCAGTCTGCTAGTTCAGTCTGCTAGTCCAGTCTTTGTGGTCTTGTTTCAACACCTCCTTCATTCACTTCCACTTTAACAACATTAGCTTTGTTTACTAGCCTCCAAGATGGCCGCCCATCCAGGTCATGAACATACGTATGATGTCACTGAAAACACTCCATACAGGATTAATGAAAGTAACTGTTAGCTTTTTGGCTAACTTCAAGCTATCGATACACGTCAATTAAATGAACTTTTTTCTTTATCAAAATGGTTAAATTAATTTTTTAGAACAATTTTTTACCTTTAACAGGTTTGGCTATCATCGGAAATTGAGAAGTTTTGTAAAAAAAAAAAAAAAATTTAAATCTCATAAATCTAGTCCTGTTTTTAAACTGACGTGGTGTCGACTGACTCAGGGAAATGTTAAAATATTAAAAACACACATTAGTAACAACAATCTCTAAAAACAGCTCTACTATGTGTGTGTTTGTGTTTGTGATCACAGATGTAATAAGTTGTGTTTGGTGGTCTGGGATTTTGGTTATGAGAAGTGAGATGTGTGTGTGTGTATGTGCTGCCAGGTTTCATCACATCCAAGAACAAGTTCACACACACACAGAGTTCACAGGCACAGCACATAAACACAGCGCATACATATACACATCGTTTCGTTTCAGCATGAAACGATATCCCACAATCCCCAGGGAGACTGCAAGGTTCTGTTGCTATGACGACTGGCTACTCCTGCCAGATATGAAGTGATATTAAGACACAGTGAGAGGAAGAGGCAGAGCAATGTAGTTAGAGCGTGGCGCCGAAGACGGGGTGAAGAAGAGGAGCTAGACTGCGATGAATGAAGAGAAAGGAGGTGGAAAAGGAGGAGCCGAGCTCGGAGCACAGATGGAGCTGGTGACGGGGTCCAAGTTGTGGTTCTGACCTGTCGTCTGAGGAGAACACTGTGATTAAAGACAGCATCAGTCGAGTGTGTGTGCTGAGGCTCTGCTGTCTCTCAATGACGCCTCCTGCTGGTTACAGTCCTAAGTGAGATTAGAAAATAAAGGCTGGCTCATCCACTTTGTGAAGTGGTCCTTACTGTGTCCTTTGTTTCCTCTCACTCCTTCTCACTGTGTCTGTGTCTGCAGTTACCCAGCAGTGTGTGAGTTTCTACAGACCAACAACCTGCTGTCAATCATCAGAGCGCATGAAGCACAGGATGCTGGGTAAGCTGTCACACTGTCACGGCTCAGTCCTTCTCCCTGGGCTTAAAAGGCAGCAGTCATTAACTCTCAGGAAACTTTGACATTTCATGCACTGAGCTGCTGCTGTTGTTGTTGTTGTTGTTGTTTTTGTGAGAGCCTGGTTCCTAGTCACGCTCAGAACTGATGTGTTTAGACTCTGGAGGATGACCTTTGACACCAGGTCACAACCTGCTTCTTTGTCTGGTCTAAAGACTGACATAACCATGAGAACTTTTTGACCTAGAGTCAACTGTTTGTCCTCGTTAAAACAAAGGCCAGGGGAGGCTTACTGTCCCAGTCTAAAAATATAATTAAAAAGACACAAAAATACAAATCCACCCAGGACATCTGTCATCTCCCTGAAAATCCTCTAAATATAAGTCTGCAATTAAGGCACCTCCACTCTGAGCCATTAGCGTTAGCGCTCAGTCTGTCGTTCAGCGGTGTCGTCTCTGACTTAGTGGAGATTTTTAAATAAATGTTTTATTACATTTAACAAAAGCTCAGGTTTGACAGAAACCACCATTTTTTAACTGGGACTTCCTGCTG